CTCTATATAACAGGCCTGGTCTTTGTATAACAGCCCTATTATCTGTATAACAGGTCTGTTCTATGTAATGTGGAGTCCTGTAGCTCAGTGGTTAGAGCACTCGCTTTGCAAGCGAGAGACCTGAGTTCAATTTCAGGCAGAGGGCGAAACCTTGGGCAAGTTTCCTTACTCCACACAGAGCCTAATAATAATCCCTCCAAAACCAAAAACAATAATAAATTGGTCATTTTCAATCTGCGACTGTTTGTGGGACATTGCTGTGCGCAATTGGCAGCTGCGTTCGCCCACAAATATACAGTCAATTCACTTTAATGTATATTTTGTGAAGCGCTTTGGGACGTCCTCCCGACGTGAAAAGCGCTATATCAAATGCAAGGATTATTATTATTATTATACAACAGGTCTGTTCTCTGTATAACTTGTCTGTTCTCTGTATAGCAGGCCTGGTCTCTGTATAACGGGCCTGGTCTCTGTATAACGGGCCTGGTCTCTGTATAACAGCTCTAGTCTCTGTATAACAACCCTGGTCTCTGTATAATATCTTGCTGTGTCGGTGTCGGTCAGTCAGTCCGGCTCGGCCGGATGCTCTCACATCGGAATCGCTGGTTCCAGATCCGCATCGGGGGCACTTACAACTCATAGTCCAGTCTGATCCTCCAGTGCAGGGGATTCCTCTCTCCCTCTTACCGTTCCTGGTGGTTGGGCTCCTCTCTATCGCTAACTGTCCCTATGGAGGCGTTGGAGGGCTAACTGTCCCTGTGTGGGGAGGGCTCCTCTCTCCCTCTAACTGTGCCTGTGGGAGGAGGAGCTCTTCGCTCCTCTAATTGTCCCTGTGGGGGGTGGTGGGGGGCTCCTCGCTCTCCCTCCAACTGTCCCCGTGTGTTTGGTGGTGGGATGGGGTGTTTTCCCTCCTCTGTGTTTCTCTAACTGTCCCTGTGTGTTTGTCGGGGAGGCAGTTCTCCCCCATCTTTCTCGAACTATACCCGTACGTGTGTGTGTGTGGGGGGGGGCTCCTTTTTCTCTCTAATTGTCCCTGTGGTGGGATGGGAGGGTGGTCCATCCTTGGCCCCCAACTCCTCTTTCTGAGCTATATGCTCCCAGAAAATCTGGTCCATGCCTTTGTCACATCTCGGCTGGACTACTCCAATGCCCTCCTCACCGGCCTCCCCTCCACCGTGGGGATCTCATCCGCAGACATGGAGTACATTTCCACATAACAACCAACTCTACTTTTCCACCTCTCTTTGCGCCCCCCAGTCCCCTGATGTTCTGCCTGACAGATCTCAGGGGCTGGATAAGTGCAAACTTCCTTCAGCTGAACGTTGACAAGACGGAAGCCATACTCTTTGGCTCTCATCAACATCTAAAATCTCATGGTTCTCACCTCCTCCACCTACCTGACCTCCCTCTCAAACGCTCTGAACCCGTACTCAACCTATACGTCACGTGCGACCCCCAATTATCCTTTCTCCTCCACATCCGGTCCCTCACCAGCACCGCCTTTTCCACCTCCGTCGCATCGCCCAGCTCCGCAAATACCTCTCCCCAAAAGTCGCTGAAAATCTGGTCCATGCCTTTGTCACATCTCGGCTGGACTACTCCAATGCCCTCCTCACCGGCCTCTCCTCCACCACCATCCATGAAATCCAACTCATTCAGAACTCTGCCGCCCGCATTCTCACCCGCACCAAACACCGCTCCCCGACCCCCAGTCCTTGTGGGATTGCACTGGCTGCCTATCCCAGAGAGGATCGACTTCCAGATCCTCACCCCCGTATTCAAGTCCTTACACTCCTCTGTACCCCCAGACCTCTCTGACCTCCTCTCTCCTCAAAACAGCACCCGTTGCCTTCGTTCCTCCGGGTCTGACCTCCTCCTTGTCCCCCGATTTCTACGCTCCACCCTCGGCGGCCGTGCCCTGAGGCGCTGGAACTACCTTCCTCACTCCCTTCCTCTCACCCCCTCCCTCCCCATTTTCAGATCTCTGCTAAAGACCTCTCTTTTCGACCGCACCTTCCCCCAGCACCCCCGCCCCCCACCCCGGCTCAGTCCCGGGGTCCGAAACTGTAAAGTGCTCTGAGACGCCGTCTGGCGTGGAGGACGCTATGTAAATCCAGTTGTTGTTACAGATGTGTGTCCTTATGTGTATATGTGCATATGTGTGTGTCTATCTGTGTATGTGGGTGTCTTCATGTGTGAGTGTGTATGTCTGTGTGAGTTTCAACGTTTGTATGTGTATATGTATGTGTCTGTTTTGTGGATTGAATGACTGATTTGTTTTACAAAGGAATTATTAACGACAGAAAGTGATCTAACCCCTGGGTTCCAACTTACTGCTGAACAGAGGGGTGTATGTGGAATAAGGAAACTTGTCCAACTTTTTGCCCGGCTCAGGCATCGAACCATGGTCCTCTCGCTTTCAGCTACAGGACTACACAACAGGAGCTGAGTCTGTTCCTCCCAGTCCTGCTGAGCCAGGCTGGGCCGCGCTGTGGCCGACAGTGACTGCAGCCCAACCTGACTCAGGGACTGGAGGGACACAGAGAGAGAGCGACAGAGAGAGCGACAGAGAGAGAGCGACAGAGAGAGAGCGACAGAGAGAGAGCGACAGAGAGAGAGAGAGCGACAGAGAGAGAGAGCGACAGAGAGAGAGAGAGAGAGAATTAGAGTACCAGAGATAGAAACATAGAAAGGCAGAGAGAGAGATACAGAGAAGCAGAGCGCGAGGCAGCGACACAGACCTTGAGAGACAGAGATACTCAACAAGTTAGAGACACAAAAATAAAGGGATACAGAGAGAGAGAGACAACTCTATATAGTCTGATATTAACAGTGACACCTCTATATAGTCTGATATTAACAGTAACACCTCCCCTATAGACTGTCCCGCCCTGTGACACCGCAGTCCGGAGTCTCCTGTATCTGCTCCTCAGTCTGTGTCGTGTCTCACATCTCATCACAGCCAATCCTGACATCACAGCTCACACGTCACACGGAGAGATTGTACATCCGCCCATTTTATTGTGATACCAACACAACACAAAGCAAAATGACATTTCACGATATGAGTTTGTCCCGGGGCTTAAAGGGTTAAATCACAATAACTGGTTACATAAACTTGGTCACTATTCCGGTCAGTTTAGGAGGATGAGGGGTGATCTAATCGAGGATTTTAAAATAATAAAGACATTCGATAGTGTAGATACAGAGAAATTGGAATCCAGAATAAGGGGGGCATCATCTTAACATTAGAGCCGGGGTATTTAGGAGTGAAATTAGGGGTAGTTTTTCACCCAAAGGCCGGTGGGAACCTGGAACTCTCTCCCCCAAAAGGCTGTGGATTATGGTTGGATCCATTCGCACTGTCCAGACGGAGGTGGGGAGATGTTTGTCAGGTCGGGGTGTTAAGGGATACGGGGCAAAGGCCGGTAACTGGGGTTGAGGTACAGATCAGCCGTGATCTTACACAATGGCCGAACAGGCTCGAGGGGCTGAATGGCCTCCTCCTGTTTCTATGATCCTCGACTCTCTGCCCATTAACCCTCGAACCTCTCTCTGATTGATCACCCTCACCCCTGTCAGAGGGTCAGGTCAGTGTCAGGTCGGCGTTAGGGCCAGGGCTGAAGTAAAGGAAGTGTTTCCCAGTGAACATGTGGATGAAAGTGAAAAGATGAGACATGTGGTCGGCGTCGTACAGCGACACCTGTCTTCCCGCATAGTCCAGGTACCTCCCAGCACCCGGGGGGTCACACTCAGGGGGAGGGGGGTAAGAGGTGAGGTTAGAGCTTTATATTCCGCACTGTACAGCCCCACAGCCCAGACTCCAGCCTCAGTTCCTTGTGTGAAATTCCCCTTCCTCGGCACAGACTCTCGGGCCACCCCCACTATACAGTGTGTGCTGTTCCCCACCCCCACCTCCCAGTAATGTCTCCCTGATGTGAACCCCTCAGACCCCAGGTCACTGGGTCAGTAACTGAACCTCTCCGGGGTGTCAGGAACCTGCTGTTCTCTGTCACTGACTTACTCGGGTCCGGTCCTCAGACAGGATGAGCCGGGGATGGGCTGTGTTAGGATCCAGAGTCAGAGAGGCTGGAGCTGAAACAGAGAATGTTGACATGTTGGAGATCGTGTGGTGAATGGTTGACAATAGTTCTTTCCGTGAGGTTTGGATTCCTGCTCTGTGTGTCTCAGGTTACACGTGGGACCCAGTAATGTTTGGCTGTGACCCGGGGCCCGGCCACCGCGGGGCTGAGGTGGGCTGAGCTCCCAATGATCTTATTCAGCATTCCCGACCGAGGGGATGAGGAATGAGAACAAGACATTTACTGCACATCTATTCCCAGAGTCAAACTCCAATCACAGGAACACAGTAAGAGCCAGTGTTACCTGCAGTGATGCCCTTTAACAGGAGTTTCCACTCTCTGCTCCTCAGAGACCCAATGAGGTCCCTCTCAGCCACATCAACAGACACTTTTGTGGATTTCTTGATGTCAACACCAGACCGGGGCACAAGATAGAGATTTGTTTCATTAAATTCAGGCACAATATCGATGACTCAGGTGGAGATTTTCACCATCACCACCATTGTGGAGTCGTGCAGCTGAAGAGTTAGATTACCAGGTAGGGCAAAACATTAGGTAAATTTCCTTCCATTACAACTCAGTGCTTTCCTACTGACACCTAGTAAGTAAGAACCAAGTTGTTAGTCGATTAGCAGATCAATTTTCCAGAGGTAATAACCTCTTGATTCCAATTTGTTTGGGACACTGCAATGGGCTGCTGTGTTTCTCCCAGAAAATATACAATCATTTACGGTGTTTTCTATTAAGTGCTTTGCATCAACTCAAAGATCTGATAAAGCACTCTATCAAGTGATAGGATTATTATTATCATCTCAATTCCCTGTAGAATTTGGAAATAGACTGGACAGATATAATGTTCTGGGCTCTCACACCCGTATGTTTCTCTATGACTAATAACACTTTCTGTTACACAAAGGGAATGTCACAAACTAGATGGACAGAAGGAAAGATTACAGACCTGTCAATGATGGATTTGATATCCTGAAAAAGAAATAAAAGTAAGGAGAGTTACAGTCAATCTTGCACACAGCCATCGAGATGAATTTGAACAGCTATGAGGCAGCTTAATGCTGTGATTCCTGATAACTCATCACTCCGAGGCAACAGGTCTCAGTGACAAGGTATCAGGAGTGGCCAGTAAGGCATATGTATACATTCATAAATAAATGAGGCCGGGATAGTGACAACGTGATGACGTCAGGGGTCGTGACAAGTTAAGTCAGTGTCGTGTCATCAGCAATCTACTGTTTCAATGAATTAAAACTAAATTTCTGATCAGTCACAGCAGTTTGTAGTAATTCAATCATTTAAGGTCACACAAAATACTTCCCCCTCGTATACATCTCTTTCAAAATTCAGCTTTAACATCCTCACCTGTCTATCTATCACACCAGACACACACCAGCATTAACACACTCACTGTCTGTCTATCACACCAGACACACAGCCTATGCACCTTCAGGAATTCGGTGTTCTGCAGAGTCAGTCTTTTCTGGATTTCTGCTATTCTCTGATTAATAGAAGTAATTTGCTTGGAAATGTGGCTCTTATTGTTTTCTATTTGGCCCACGATGGCCTCCTCCTGCAGTCTGAGTTTGGTGATCAGGTCTCGCTGCTCCTCAGTCAGCAGCTGGTGACGTTAAGCAAATTCAGCGTCGATGTTCTTCCTCAAATGCTCGGCTTGTCTCTGTCACAATAAACACAATGTTAACATTATCCAACACAAGAACAGGGGCTCAGCCTGTCAGTCACGGTGACATTGCCCATGAACCTGCTGATATCATCCTGAGTGGGAGGGTAGCGAGGTCTCCTGAACTGAATCCAAGGTGACCTGCCTGGCAATGGAATGGCGGCATCAAGAGAGGCCTCTGTGACGTTCTCTTTTCCAGTTCCTGAGCCAGGCCGGTCCACCCTATCCCAGGGCACTGCTGATAACGGCACAGCCCAGACTGGCTCATCGGCAGGACCTGGATAGGCAGAAGAGTCACTGTGGGCAGTGAGTAAACCCACTCATCTCCTGTTAACCCTGCGATATCAAGCCCTAACCTGTAGGGTGGTCCTGGTTGGAAACAGCGGGAAAGTTTGTCATACAGCAATATCAATGGGACGGGCTATATCAGAGCTGATATACAAACCGCTCACCTTCACTTCCAGTTCAGCTGCTCCTTCTTCTCTCTGACACCGAGACATTTCATCCAACTGTTTGTGAAGGGTTCCAGGGCTTTCTGCAGCTTTTGCTGAAACAAAGTGAATGTAAGTAAACAGGGAGAAGGGACAGAGTCACTATTACTGGTTTAGGATATTCCACTTGTGTGACAGAGCTGTAATATTCCATTCCACTCGATCGAAGCAGTCAGATGGTGAGGCCGCTCAGAACTTCTGGATTTACCTAACATGCCGTCAGCAAGTCAGCCAACACCAGGGCTTGAACACACAACCTTCTGACCCAGAGGCCGGCGAGATTGCTGCTCAGTGACCGGCTGTACACAATATCATCTCTTTCCTAATATGTCACATAGAGTGTAACAGCACATTGACAAAGCTTCATCTGCTCGACTAAACTTTAGCTTGGTCATCAAACCAATCTTACATATTAAACACCTGGTTCAGTTGGTCAGATTGTGGCCATGATCTAACTGAATGGCAAACAGGCTTCAAGCCCTGAATGATCTCCTTCTGTGCCTATGTTCCTGCTGCTATGTTTATCGCGTATTCTGAGGCACTTTGAGACATACTCACAAAGCGGTGTGAAATGTCAGGATTAATATCAATTCCATACCTTGCAGAGCTCAGCAGCTTCCTTGATGGGAATGACTGTGTGATCCTTGTGATCACGGGACATCGCACAGACCACACAGATCGCTCTTTGATCCATTTCACAAAACAGTTTCAGCTTCTCCTCATGCTCTTCACACTGGATTCCCACCTCTTCCAGCCTCAGATTCAGGCTCAGTCTCTGAACACTCTCCACAATGTTAGACAGAGTTCTGTTGGGCCGAACACCCCTCTGGGGAATCTGCTGCCTGCACTGTGGACAGGACACACTTTCTTGTTCTGTGCCCCAACACTGTAAAATACAGTTCTGCAGAAGCTGTGGTCACAGTCACCGGATCCGTATAAAACTCCAGACAGATTGAACACGTGGCTTCATTTCTCAGGTTCTCCAGTTCCTGTTCAGACGCCATTTCACCATCAGCTCTTTGCTCTGTTTGGGACTTTCCCCCAAACCAGGACGTGGCTGTGTGAGTGGGGATCACAGACCAACTGCTGTTTGAAGGGACAGACACCTGAAGACAAAAGGAACACAGATGTTTAGCACATTCAGGCCATTCGTAAGGTCACGTCTCAGAATGTTTAATAATAATAATCCTTGCATTTTGATATAGCACTTTATCCTGTCTTCAAGATGTCTAGAAGTGCTTCTTCTCTAATTTAATTTTAATGATTACAACAGTGCAATAATCATAATAGTAATAATCTTTGCTTATTATTTTGTGCCTGATCATATCTTCAAGATGTCTCAAAGCGCTACACAGAATATCAAGTGAATTCACTATGTGTTTTGTTGGCGAAACGTGAAGACAATTGCACACAGCAGTGTCCCACAGGCAATCGTGGATTGATTGACCAAATTTTATTTGTTTATGAAAAATACTGAAGGATTTTTAAAGGATTATTAGTCCCAGAAAAGTGATCTGTCCACTGACTAACAATCAGGTTTCAACTTACTGCTCAGTAAACAGAGTCATGGGGTAAGGAAACTTGGCCAAAGTTTCGACCTCCTGGGAATCGAACCCAACTCCTCTGACAAGTGCTAAAACATACCCGAAAGGACCCCACAATAATACAATTCAACTTCATTTGATCAATCAACAGCCAATGAATAAAAGTACACAAAGCATTTAATGAACATCTGAAGCAAATAAAGTCGTGACAACGAACAGAGAGATTGAGAAGCGATCAGTTTCTCTTCTCTGATGTTTCCACAGTCTAAGTCGCTGACTTTTGTTTCTTCGACTTCATTTCATTTATCAAACCGATATACACAAACTCTCTGTACATTAGTCACTGCTTTATCTGCTGAATATTGTGTAAACACTATCTGTACTCGAATACAAGAACATGTAGCAATTAAGCAATAGTTAAATATTGTTTAAACACAACAGAGGTTGTAATGGAGTCGGAAACCATGACCTTTCCCCGGGATAGTGTCCTCAGTGTCAGATCTTCTCAGACGCCCCAACAACAGCCATCAGACGGAGAAGGCCACAGCCTCAGACACCGCTCACCTCAGGGCTGAGAAACAAGCAGCGGGGGACGGGGGGACAGACGGGGAGGCGCTGCCCACCAGTGCTCCATCTCTCTCTCTCTCTCTCTCTGCAAAACAGCTGCTCCCGGTCACCAGCAGCTCGAGAAGGTGCGGCCACAACGCCATTTCCCACCAGAAACAAACTGCAGACAAAAGGCAGGAAAACTGGGATTCAGTGACGGGGGGAGACGGCGTTACACACTCACACACACACACTCTCTGTCTCTCACTGACCCGATCCGCCATCAGCGCCGAGTTGTCCCGCCTCTCGGGGCCGCTCCCTCCCCGACTGCTCAACTCCTCACCGCCGCCGCCATGTCCGCGCTTCTCCTCCTCCTCCAACCGTCACTCTCTCCCCGCCCACTCGCTCCCCATTGGTCCTTTCACAACATCCGGCTCTTCGATCAGCGTTTCTAATTGGTGAGAGCTTTTGTCAATCAGATACTGAGCTGTCATAGTCCCGTTTCCACGTCAATCACCTCCCCCCCAACCGCCTCGCGCTCTCTGCCCAACCGTCACTCTCTCCCCGCCCACTCGCTCCCCATTGGTCCCGTCGAACACCCGCCTCTCAGTTGGAGCTTCCGATTGCTCAGTCGAGTTGTCAATCAGACACTGGCTGTCAGAGGTCCGTTTCCACGTCAATCATCTCTCCTCTTACCCGCCTCGCGCTCTCTGTCCAACCGTCACGTGTCTCCCGCCCACTCGCTCCCGATTGGTCTGTTCCAACACCCGCCTCCTCAGACAGATCGATCCATTGGTCCGCCCTGTTCTCAATGTGACTGTGGCGCTCTGATAGGCCCCGTGTCCACGTCAATCATCTCCTCCCCTCCCGCCCCGCGCTCTCTGTCCAACCGTCACTCTCTCGTCTCCTGTTCCTCCCTTCTCTGAAGTGTCTGAAGAGAACTGATCTCCAGTGGTTACGGGGAAAGACCGGTCAATAAGGGCTGAAGAGCTGTGACCTTCCGGGACGCGGCGATCGCCATCGCACACACAGACAAGACTCGTGTCAGTTGGCACCGACTGCACAGACTTTCCGGGGCCACAGGATCGGGATGTGGAACTTGTGCCGTTGAAGTCAATCCACCGTTCACTCGTTTCCCTTCAGAATACCGCAGAGAGCGGCGGTGTCCGCGCGGCTCAGCGGCTCCCACTGTGCCCTCTTTCACAGCGCTGTGAGCTCGGCCCTCCCCCCCTCCCTTCGCCCCCCCCACCCTCGGGTCCTCCCCCTCGGCCCCCCCACCCTCGGCCCCCCCACCCTCGGCCCCCCCCCCCCGGCCCCCCCCACTCGGGACCCCCCCCCCCCCCCCCCCCCCCCCCCTCTCGGGCCTTTGAATATTGCTTCACTACCACATGTTCTTGTGTTGGAGAACACACAGTATTCACACAATATGAAGCGGATAAAGCAGTGACTGACGGACAGAGAAATGGAGTGTATCAGTTTGATTTATGAAATGAAGTTGAAGAAAGAAAAGTCAGCGACTGAGACTGCGGAGATATCGGAGAAGAGAAACTGATCGCTTCTCAATCTCTCTGTTCGTAGTCACAAGTTTATTTGCTTAAGATGTTCATTGAATACTATGTGTACTTTTATTCATTGGCTATTGATTGGTAAAATGAAATTGAATTGTACTGTTGTCGGGTCATTTAGGGTAATGTTTAGAGCGCTCATGAGGAGCTGCGATCGATTCCCAGGAGCGCGAAACATTGGGCAAGTTTTCTTGCTCCACGACTCTGTTTACAGAGCAGTAAGTTGGAACCTGACTTTCAGTCAATTGGTAGATCACTTTTCCGGGACTAACAGTCCTTCAAAATATGTATTTTTTAATTTCACCAAATAAATAAAATTTGGTCAATCAATCCATGATTGGCTGTGGAACATTGCTGTGTGCAATTGGCTTCCACGTTTCGCCCACAAGAATTATAGTAAATTCACTTGATATTCTGTGTAGCGCTTTGAGATGTCTCGAAGATGTGATCAGGGACAAAATAATATGCACTGGGTTCTTATTATTATGAACATTACACTATTGTAGTTATTAAATTCACTTCACAGAAGAGCGCTTCTAGACATCTTGAAGACATGATAAAGTGCTATATCAAATGTAAGGATTATCATTATTATTAAACATTCTGAGACATGACCTTACGAATGGCCTGAATGTGCTAAACATCTGTGTTCCTTTTGTCTTCAGGTGTCTGTCCCTTTGAACAGCAGTTGGTCTGTGATCCCCACTCACACAGCCAAGTCCTAAAGGTGAAAGTACCAAACAGAGCAAAGAGCTGATGGTGAAATGGCGTCTGAACAGGAACTGGAGAACCTGAGAAATGAAGCTACATGTTCAATCTGTCTGGAGTTTTACACGGAACCGGTGACTATAGACTGTGGCCACAACTTCTGCAGAGACTGTATTTTACAGTGTTGGGGCACAGGACAAGAAAGTGTGTCCTGTCCGCAGTGCAGGCAGCAGATTCCCCAGAGGGGTGTTCGGCCCAACAGAACTCTGTCTAACATTGTGGAGAGTGTTCAGAGACTGAGCCTGAATCCGAGGCTGGAAGAGGTGGGAATCCAGTGTGAAGAGCATGAGGAGAAGCTGAAACTGTTTTGTGAAATGGATCAAAGAGCGATCTGTGTGGTCTGTGCGATGTCCCGTGATCACAAGGATCACACAGTCATTCCCATTAAGGAAGCTGCTGAGCTCCACAAGGTATGGAATTGATAATAATTCAGACATTTGATAGAGCGCTGTGAGGACGTCTCAAAGTGCTTAAGAATACACTGTAAACATAGCAACAGGAACATAGGCACAGGAGGAGACCATTCAGGCCTTGAAGCCTGTTTGCCATTCTATTAGATCATGGCTGATCTGTACCTCAACTGTAAATCCCCACCTTTGCCCTATATCCCTTGATACCCTGACATAACAAAAGTCTATCCAACTCAGTCTTAATCCACTGACTTTTGGGGGGAGAGAGTTCCAGATTTCCACAAAATTTTGTGTCAAAAGATATGCTTCCTGATTTCACTGATGAAGGCCTAGTTCTAACTGTAATATTATTCCCCTTGTTCTGGATTCTGTCACCAGAAGAAATACTGTCTCTGTAGCTGCTCCATTGAAATCCCTTATTATTTTAAACACCGCAATCAGATCACCCCTCAACCTTCTAAACTGAAGGGAATACTGGTTTATGGAGCCCAAAAGTGACCTGACTGTGAGCACAGCTGCCGATTTGCACACACCAATGTCCCACAACTTCCTGACTCAGACGCCACAATGCGATCCACTGAACCAGGTGTTTAATATGTAAGATTGGTTTGATGACCAAGTTAAAGTTTAGTCGAGCAGATGAAGCTTTGTCAATGTGCTGTTACACTCTATGTGACATATTAGGAAAGAGTTGGTATTGTGTACAGCCGGTCACTGAGCAGCAATCTCGCCGGCCTCTGGGTCAGAAGGTTGTGTGTTCAAGCCCTGGTGTTGGATGACTTGCTGATGGCATTTTAGGTAAATTCAGAAGTTCTGAGTGGCCTCACCATCTCACTGTATCGATCGAGTGGAATGGAATATTACAGCTCTGACACACAAGTGGAATATCCTAAACCAGTAATAATGACTCTGTCCCTTCTCCCTGTTTACTTACATTCACTTTGTTTCAGCAAAAGCTGCAGAAAGCCCTGGAAACCCTTCAGGAACAGTTGGGTGAAATGTCTCAGTGTCAGAGAGAAGAAGGAGCTACTCAAATGGAAGTCCAGGTGAGCAGTTTGTATATTAGCTCTGTTCTAGCCTTCCATTGATATTGCTGTGTGACAAACTTTCCCGCTGTTTCCAGCCAGGACCACCCTACAGGTTAGAGCTTGATATCGCAGGGTTAACAGGAGATGAGACGTCCTCCCGACGTGAAAGGCGCTCAACAAATGGAATATTGTTGTTATTGTTGTTGATGAGTAGGTTTGCTCCGAGAGTGACTCGTCTGCCTATCCAGGTCCTGTCGATGAGCCAGTCTGGGCTGTGCTGTTATCAGCAGTGCCCTGGGATACTGTGATCCGGCCTGGCTCAAGAAACGGACAAGAGACCGTCACAGAGGCCTGGGCTCGATACCGGCATTTCATTGCCAGGCAGGTCACCTCAGAGCCAGTTCAGTTCAGGAGACCTCGCTACCCACCCCTCAGTAGGATATCACCAGGTTCATGGGCAATGTAACCGTGACTGACAGGCCGAGCCCCTGTTCTTGAGTCGGATAATGTTAACATTGTGTTTATTGCGACAGAGACAAGCCGAGCGTCTGAGGAAGAACATTGACGCTGAATTTGCTAAACGTCACCAGCTGCTGATTGAGGTTTGTGTCTGTTCGAATATGTGTGTGTGTGTATTTTGGTGTGTCTGTGTGTGTCTCGGTTTGTGTTTGTGTGAGTGTGTGTGTGTCAGAGTGGGCCTGTCTGTGTGAGTATGTATCTCAGAGTTGCTCTTTACGTGAGTATGCGTTCGCGTGTGTGCCTGCAGGTGTTTCTATGGATCTGGTTTTCTGTGTGAGTCTGTGTGTATGTCTATGTGTGTCCTGATGTGGTTGTATTTATTTTGTGATAGCTCGCTGGCATTTAGTGGCTGTGTTTAGCGGCTTTGGCTGCTGTTTAGAGGCTGTGGCTGGTGTTGACATGGATTTTGAATGAGGTGAGCGAGGGAGCCAGTGGGAGGGATTAAAATACAACGTGAGGGTCTAGAGTTCAAGTCCCTGTTCGGCTATTACTTTTTTTTTGTGTGGGTGGCGGAGGTGGGGTGTCGGGGCGTTAAGCAAATTCAAGTGGTGGTTCCATTTTTCCCCCTATATGAAACATGTTTAAGTTTTCCATTAATATCGTAAATTTTATCGAACAACACACCTTCATCGTTTCTTCATATGCAGCAGCAACAACAACAAATTACACTTGTATATCGCCCTTCACGTTGGAAAGACTTCACAGGGCACTGGACAATCTGGGGTTTTGGACCCGAGCTGGGAGTCGGTGTGACGGATGTGAAACGTGAGCATATCACCATCTACTCCAACATCATCTTGGAGGCTAAACACAACCCTAAAGTCCTTTTTTCCCACCACACACTACCTCCTCCGTGCCCCCCTCTCAGGCCTCATCAATCTTCATATGAAATGCCAAGTGCGAGGAGGTCATGGACTTCTTTTCATCTAAAATTCACAACATCCGCCAGGCAGCCTCATCCACCTGCACCTTATCACCCACCACCATGCCCTCTCTGTCTCCCTCAAACCCCATCATCTGCTCCTACCACCACCCTCATCCTACATTCCATCCTCCCCATCTCTCCCTCCTCCGTCTCACCGACCATCACCTCCATGAAACCCACCACCTGCTGCCTCGAACCCCTCCCCACCAATTTGCTGGTCAACCAGCTGCCCCTCCTCCTTCCACTACTTGCTGATTCAGTCCCTCTCCTCCGGATCAGTCCCTGCCCCCCTCAAAACTGCTGTTATCAACCTCCTCCTCAAAAAACCTTCCCAAGATATCTCAAACCCAGCCATTACCGCCCCATTTCTAACCTGCCCTTCCTCACAAAAACCCTAGAATGCTTTATTGCCAATCAACTTTGCGCAAACCTCTCCACCCACACACTCTTCGAATCCCTCCAGTCCGGTTTCCGCCTACAGTAGATAGACTGCACTTGTGAAAGTCAAAAACGACATCCTCTCTATCTGTGACCAGGGATCCCTCTGTCTCCCCGTCCTCCTGGACCTCGCCGCGGCATTCCACACAGTCGTTCACGTCATCCTCCTCCACCGCCTTACCTCTATCATCCACCTCAGTGGGACCGCACTCGCCTGGTTCGAGTCCTATCACACAAACCGCCAGCAGTACATCTGCACAAGCCACTTTTCCTCCCGATCTCACCCTCCCGTTAGCTGCAGGGTACCCCAAGGATCCATCCTTGGCCCCTCCTTTTCCTTATCTACATGCTCTCACTTGGGGATGTCATCCGCAGACATGGGGTACATTTCCACATGAATGTGGACGACACCGAACTGTATTTTTCAAACTCTCTTTGCCATCCCCCGTCACCTGATGTTCTGCCTATCAGATCTCAGGGGCTGGATGAGTGCAAAATTCCTTCAGCTGAAGGACAAAACGGTAGACATATTCTTTGGTTCTCGTCAAAGTCTCAAATCTCACGGCTCTCACCTCCTCCACCTATTGGACCTCGCCCTAAAACTCTCCGAACCCGTACAGAACCTTGGCATTAGGCTCGATCCCGAATTATCCTTCCTCCCGCTCATCTGGTTCCTCACCAGCACCGCTTTCTTCCACCTCCGACGCATCACCCGTCTCTGCCAATACCTCTGTCTGAAAGCCGCTGAAACCCTAGTCCATGACTTTGTGACCCTTCGGCTGGAATATTCTGATGCCCTCACCGGTCTCTCATCCACTACCATCCATGAAATCCAAGTCATTCAAAACTCTGCCGCCCGCATTCTCACCCGATCCAAACTCCGCTCCCCGATCACCCCAGTCCTTGCCAGACTGCACTGGCTGCCTGTCCCAGAGAGGATCGACATCAAGAGCCTCACATTCGTATTCAAATTCTTCCACTCCTCTGCACCTCCCGACCTCTCTGACTTCCTCTCTACTCAAAACAGAACCGGTTACCTTCCTTCCTCTGGGTCTGGTCTCCTCCTTGTCCCCCGTGTCCTCCGCTCCACCCTCGTGGCCGTGCCTTCAGCCACTATGCCCCGAGGCTCTAGAATTCCCTTCCTCACTCCCTTCGCCTCGTCCCCTCTCTTCCCACTTTCAGGACACTGCTGAAGATCTTTCTTTTCGACCGAGCCTTCGGTCACCCTCCTCCCCTTCCCCTTGGCTCGGCCCCGGGATTTGTTACTGTGAAGCACTCTGAGACGCCGTCCAGCATGGAGGGCGCTATAAAAATCCAAGTTGTTGTTATTGTTGATTGAGTGTTATCAGTAACAACGTTGGTAATTTAAGGATATCAAAATTCAGGGAACTTCTCTGAAGTGGAGTTAAGTTCCACGTTCACTGATGGTCGCTGTAACTGGGATTCAACACATGGTTGTTTTTATAACACACAACACAACATGATCACATTGTGTGTCTCTACCCATCCCCTGCACTCAGCTAACACTGACCTTCCCTGTGTGTCTCTGCCCACTTTCTGCTCTCAGCCAACATTGAGCATCGATACATGCTTCCACCACATCCAGTTGCTGACCAGGACCACCTTCCTCGACCTCCGCACAGTGCCCGCCTTCGTCCATCGCTGACCCCAACTGCAGCTGAAACCTCGTGCATGTGTTTGTCACCTCCTGCCTGGATTCCTGCAAAGCACTCCTCGCCGGTCTCCCCAGCGCCACCATTCAAAAGATCAGCTCACAGATCTGACCCCCAACAAACTCCGTCCCCACCTCTCACCGGCTCTGGCCCGGGCCCCACTGGCTCCTCATCACCAAACCGACCAACCTCAAGATCATCTCACTCTCGTGTTCAAACCCCTTCACTCCCTGGCACCTCCCTCCCCCTCCAACCTACGCACTCCCCAATCCATCACCCAGTCAGCGCCTACTGTCGACTGGCACCGCCCTCCTTCGCGTCCCTTGCACTCTCCGATCCACCATCAGAGGTCGCGCTTTCAGTCACTATGGCAGAAACCTCTGGAACACTCTCACTCAATGCCTCCGCGTTGCCCCCGTGCTCCCCTTTTTCAAATTCTAACTGAAAACTTTCCTTCTCGACTGTGCTTACAGCCACCTCCGCCCATCCCTCCCACCGGCTTGGAGTCAGGCTCCATCACTGTTAAGCTCGGAGACGCTGCCTACATGGAGGGCGCTATATAAGTGCAAGTTGTTGTTGTTTGTGGTTGAGGGCAGCTGAGCTGTGTAGTATGTCTGTGAATGTGAGTGTGTGTGTGTGTGTGTGTGGTTGCCTGTGTGTCTGTTTGTGTGTGTGATAGATTGCATGTTTGTATGTACATGTGTGAGTTTATGTATGTGTGTGTGTTTGTAAATGTGTGTATATGTCTGTACATATTATCAATGATACCTCCATATAGACTGATATATACAGTCTGCCTGCTGCCTGTCTGTGTGTGCGCACGTGTGTGTGTGTGTGCGCGCGTGTGTCATGGATTGAATTAGCAAATTATTATTTCATTTGAAGGTATTATTAACCCTGGAAAGTGATCTAACACCTGGGTTCCTACTTGCTCCCAGGTAAACAGAGGAGTGGTGTGAAATAAGGAAACTTGCCCAACTTTTCACCCTGTTCAGGGATAAAACCAGAGTCCTCTTGTGAGGCGAGTGCAGTAACCAATAAGCTACAGGACTCCACAACAAGAGCCGAGTGGGAAGACTCCCTGTCCCAGGGTCTGGTCTGTTGCTCCCAGTCCTGCTGAGCCAGGCTGGGCCGCTCTGTGGCAGACAGTGACTGTGGGCTCAGCCTGGCTCAGAAACCGGGGGGACAGAGAGAGAGAGAAAGATGCAGAGAGAGACACAGAGAGAAACAGAGAATGGCAGAGAGAGAGAAACAGAGAGAGACAGCAACAGAGACCTTCAGAGACAGAGATACCGAGCAACACAGTTGGAGAAAGAGATACAGAAATAAAGGGATACAGAGAGAGACAGAGAGAGAGAGTCTCACATCTCATCACAGCCAATGCTGACATCACAGCATCACACGTCACACGGAGAGATTGTTCATCCGTCCATTTTATTGTGATACCAACACAACACAAAACAAAATTACATTTGTATATAACACCTTTCACATCAGGAGGACATCCTAGGGCTTAAGTGTTAAATCACGAGGACAGGTTGCATAAACTTGGTCTCTATTCCAGTGAGTTTAGAAGGACGAGGGATGATCTAATTGAGGATTTTAAAATAACAGAGGCATTTGATAGTGTAGATACAGAGAAATTAGAATCCAGAACAAAAAGAGCATCATCTTAATATTAGAGTCGGGACATTTAAAAATTAGGGGCAGTTTTTCACCCAAAGACCAATGGGAACCTGGTACTCTCTCCCCCAAAAGGCTGTGGATTATGGTTGGATCCATTCACAGTGTCCAGACGGAGGTGTAGAGATGTTTGTCAAGTCGGGGTGTTAAGGGATACGGAGCAAAGGCTGGTAACTGGCGTTGAGGTACAGATCAGCCGTGATCTTATAGAATGGCCGAACAGGCTCGAGGGGCTGAATGGCCACCTCCTGTTTCTATGTTCTTACGTCACCTCCACTCTCCGGCCGGTAACCCCCGTATCCTATCTCTGATTGGTCACCCTCACGCTTGTCAGGGGGTCAGTGTCAGATTGGTGTTACGGCCAGGGCTGAAGTAAGGGAAGAGTTTCCCAGAGAATGTGTGGGTGAAAGTGAAGAGATGAGACATGTGGTCAGCGTTGTACAGCGACACCTGTCCTCCCGCATAGTCCAGGTACACGCCCAGCACCCGGGGGCTCACACTCAGGGAGAGGGGGGTAGGAGGTGAGGTTAGAGCTACATATTGGCCATTGTATAGCCCCACAGCCCAGACTCCAATCTCAGGTCCATGTGTGAAATACTCCTTCCTGGGCACAGACGCTCGGGCCACCCCCACTGTCCAGTGTGTGCTGTTCCCCACCCCCACCTCCCAGTAATGTCTCCCTGATATGAAGCCCTCAGACCCCAGGATACTGCAATAGTTACTAAACCTCTCCGGGGTGTCAGGAACCTGCTGTTCTCTGTCACTGACTCTCACTCGGGTCTGGTCCTCAGACAGGATGAGCCGGGGATGGGCTGTGTTAGGATCCAGAGTCACAGAGGCTGGAGCTGAAACAGAATGTTGACATGTTGGAGATCGTGTGGTGAACGGTTGACATTATATTTCAATGGTTCATTCAGTGAGGGTTGGATTCCTGCTTTGTGTGTCTCAGGTTACACGTGGGACACCACTAATATCTGGTCATGACCCGGTGTCCGGCCACCGCAGGGCTGAGGTGGGCTGAGCTCCCAATGATCTTATTTAGCATTCCCGACCGAGGGGATGAGGAGCGAGAACAAGACATTTACTCCACATCTATTCCCAGAGTCAGACTCCGATCACAGGAACACAGTAAGAGCCAGTGTTACCTGCAGTGATGCCCTTTAACAGGAGTTTCCACTCTCTGCTCTGCAGAGGCCCAATGAGGTCCCTCTCAGCCACATCAACAGACACTTTTGTGGGTTTCTTGATGTCAACACCGGACCTGGGCACAGATAAAGATTTGTTTAATTAAATTCAGACACAATATCGATGACTCAGGTGGAGATTTTCACCATCATCTCCATTGTGGAGTCCTGTTCCTTAGTGGTTAAAGCGCTCGCCTCACATGCCACAGGACTTTGGTTCGATTCCCGGGTAGGACAAAACATTTGGTAAGTTTTCTTACTTCACACCTCAGTACGTTCCTACTTACACGTAGTAAGTAAGAATCAAGTTGTTAGTCGATTGGCTGATCAATTTTCCTGGGGTAGTAGCCTCTTGATTACATTTTTGTTCGGGACACAGCTCTGCGCAATGGGCTGCAGTGATTCTCTCAGAAAATATACATCCAGTTTGTTCCCTTTACAGTATATTCTATGAAGTGATTAGCATCATCTCAAAGATGTGATAAAGCACTCTATCAAATGATAGGATTATTATTATCATCACAATTCCCTGTTGAATTTGAGGATAGATTGGACAGATACAATGTTCTGGGCTCTCACACACGTATGTTTCTCTCTGACTAATAACACTTTCTGTTACACAATTGGATTGGGGAATGTCACTAACAAGATGGACGTAAGGAAAGATTACAGACCTGTCAATGATGGATATGATATCCTGAAGAAGAAATAAAAACAAGGAGAGTTAGATTCAATCTTGCACACAGCCATCGAGATGAATTTGAACAGGTATTAGGCAGCTTAATGCTGTGATTCCTGATAACTCATCACTCCTCGGGAACAGGTCTCTGTCACAAGGTATCAGGAATGGCCAGTTAGGCATATGTATAAATCCATAAATAAATGAGGCCGGGATAGTGACAATGTGATGACGTCAGTGGTCCTGACAAGTTAAGTCATAGTCTTGTTATCAGCAATCGACTGTTTTAATGAATTAAAAATAAATTTCTGATCTGAGTCACAGTAGATTGTAGTAATTCAATCATTTCAGGTCACACACAATCCTTCCCCTTCGTCTCCACCACTTTCTAAATTCAGCTTTCAACACCCTCACCTGTCTGTCTGTCACACCAGCATTAACACACTTACTGTCTGTCGATCACACCAGACACACACCACCATTAACAGACTCGCTGTCTGTCTATCACACCAGACACACCAGTATTAAGACACTCATTGTCTGTCTATCACACCAGACAAACACCACCATTAACAGACTCACTGTCTGACTATCGCACCAGGCACACACCAGCATTAACGCACTCACTGTCTGTCTATCACACCAGACACACAGCCTATGCACCTTCAGGAATTCGGTGTTCTGGAGAGTCAGTCTTGTCTGGATTTCTGCTATTCTCTGGTTAACAGAAGTAATTTGCTTGGAAATGTCACTCTTATTGTTTTCTATTTGTCCTAAGATGGCCTCCTCCTGCTGTCTGAGTTTGGTGATCAGGTCTCGCTGCTCCTCAATCAGCAGCTGGTGACGTTTAGCAAATTCAGCGTCAATGTTCTTCCTCAGACGCTCGGCTTGTCTCTGTCGCAATAAACACAATGTTAACATTATCCGACTCAAGAACAGGGGCTCGGCCTGTCAGTCACGGTTACATTGCCCATGAACCTGGTGATATCCTACTGAGGGGGTGGGTAGCGAGGTCTCCTGAACTGAACTGGCTCTGAGGTGACCTGCCTGGCAATGAAATGCCGGTATCGAGCCCAGGCCTCTGTGACGGTCTCTTGTCCGTTTCTTGAGCCAGGCCGGATCACAGTATCCCAGGGCACTGCTGATAACAGCACAGCCCAGACTGGCTCATCGACAGGACCTGGATAGGCAGACGAGTCACTCTCGGAGCAAACCTACTCATCAACAACAATAACAACAATATTCCATTTGTTGAGCGCCTTTCACGTCGGGAGGACGTCTCATCTCCTGTTAACCCTGCGATATCAAGCTCTAACCTGTAGGGTGGTCCTGGCTGGAAACAGCGGGAAAGCTTGTCACACAGCAATATCAATGGAAGGCTAGATCAGAGCTAATATACAAACTGCTCACCTGGACTTCCATTTGAGTAGCTCCTTCTTCTCTCTGACACTGAGACATTTCACCCAACTGTTCCTGAAGGGTTTCCAGGGCTTTCTGCAGCTTTTGCTGAAACAAAGTGAATGTAAGTAAACAGGGAGAAGGGACAGAGTCATTATTACTGGTTTAGGATATTCCACTTGTGTGTCAGAGCTGTAATATTCCATTCCACTCATCTTTCCTCATGTGTCGCATAGAGTTTAACAGCACATTGACAAAACTTCATCTGCTCGACTAAACTTTAACTTGGTCATCAAACCAATCTTACATATTAAACACCTGGTTCAGTGGATCGCATTGTGGCGTCTGAGTCACGAAGTTGTGGGACATTGGTGTGTGCAAATCGGCAGCTGTGCTCACAGTCAGGTCACTTTAGGGCTCCATAAACCTGTATTCCCTTCAGTTTAGAAGGTTGAGGGCTGATCTGATTGCGGTGTTTAAAATAATAAGGGATTTCAATGGAGCAGCTACAGAGACAGTATTTCTTCTGGTGAAAGAATCCAGAACAAGGGGAATAATATTACAGTTAGAACTAGGCCTTCATCAGTGAAATCAGTGAGCATATTTTTTGACACAAAATTTTGTGGAAATCTGGAACTCTCTCCCCCAAAAGTCAGTGGATTAAGACTGAGTTGGATAGACTTTTGTTATGTCAGGGTATCAAGGGATATAGGGCAAAGGTGGGGATTTACAGTTGAGGTACAGATCAGCCATGATCTAATAGAATGGCAAACAGGCTTCAAGGCCTGAATGGTCTCCTCCTGTGCCTATGTTCCTGTTGCTATGTTTACAGTGTATTCTTAAGCACTTTGAGACGTCCTCACAGCGCTCTATCAAATGTCTGAATTATTATCAATTCCATACCTTGTGGAGCTCAGCAGCTTCCTTAATGGGAATGACTGTGTGATCCTTGTGATCACGGGACATCGCACAGACCACACAGATCGCTCTTTGATCCATTTCACAAAACAGTTTCAGCTTCTCCTCATGCTCTTCACACTGGATTCCCACCTCTTCCAGCCTCGGATTCAGGCTCAGTCTCTGAACACTCTCCACAATGTTAGACAGAGTTCTGTTGGGCCGAACACCCCTCTGGGGAATCTGCTGCCTGCACTGCGGACAGGACACACTTTCTTGTCCTGTGCCCCAACACTGTAAAATACAGTCTCTGCAGAAGTTGTGGCCACAGTCTATAGTCACCGGTTCCGTGTAAAACTCCAGACAGATTGAACACGTGGCTTCATTTCTCAGGTTCTCCAGTTCCTGTTCAGACGCCATTTCACCCTCAGCTCTTTGCTCTGTTTGGGACTTTCACCTTTAGGACTTGGCTGTGTGGGTGGGGATCACAGACCAACTGCTGTTCAAAGGGACAGACACCTGAAGACAAAAGGAACACAGATGTTTAGCACATTCAGGCCATTCGTAAGGTCATGTCTCAGAATGTTTAATAATAATGATAATCCTTACATTTGATATAGCACTTTATCATGTCTTCAAGATGTCTAGAAGCGCTCTTCTGTGAAGTGAATTTAATAACTACAATAGTGTAATGTTCATAATAATAATAACCCATTGCATATTATTTTGTCCCTGATCACATCTCCGAGACATCTCAAAGCGCTACACAGAATATCAAGTGAATTTACTATAATTCTTGTGGGCGAAACGTGGAAGCCAATTGCACACAGCAATGTTCCACAGCCAATCATGGATTGATTGACCAAATTTTATTTATTTGGTGAAATTAAAAAATACATATTTTGAAGGACTGTTAGTCCCGGAAAAGTGATCTACCAATTGACTGAAAGTCAGGTTCCAACTTACTGCTCTGTAAACAGAGTCGTGGAGCAAGAAAACTTGCCCAATGTTTCGCGCTCCTGGGAATCGATCGCGGCTCCTCATGAGCGCTCTAAACATTACCCTAAATGACCCGACAACAGTACAATTCAATTTCATTTTACCAATCAATAGCCAATGAATAAAAGTACACATAATATTCAATGAAAATCTTCATCAAATAAACTTGTGACTACGAACAGAGAGATTGAGAAGCGATCAGTTTCTCTTCTCGGATATCTCCGCAGTCTCAGTCGCTGACTTTTCTTTCTTCAACTTCATTTCATAAATCAAACTGATACACTCCATTTCTCTGTCCGTCAGTCACTGCTTTATCCGCTTCATATTGTGTGAATACTGTGTGTTCTCCAACACAAGAACATGTGGTAGTGAAGCAATATTCAAAGGGCCCGAGAGGTGGGGGGGGGGGGGGGCGAGGTGGGGGTCCGAGTGTGGGGGGGCCCGAGGGGAGGGGGGGACCGAGGGTGGGGGGCCGAGGGTGGGGGGCCGAGGGTGGGGGGGGCCCCGAGGGGAGGAGGGGGGACCCGAGGGTGGGGGGGCCCGAGGGGGAGGACCCGAGGGGTGGGGGGGGGCGAAGGGAGGGGGGGAGGCCGAGCTCACAGCGCTGTGAAAGAGGGCACAGTGGGAGCCGCTGAGCCGCGCGGACACCGCCGCTCTCTGCGGTATTCTGAAGGGAAACGAGTGAACGGTGGATTGACTTCAACGGCACAACTTCCACATCCCGATCCTGTGGCCCCGGAAAGTCTGTGCAGTCGGTGCCAACTGACACGAGTCTTGTCTGTGTGTGCGATGGCGATCGCCGCGTCCCGGACAGTCACAGCTCTTCAGCCCTTATTGACCGGTCTTTCCCCGAAACCACTGGAGATCAGTTCTCTTCAGACACTTCAGAGAAGGGAGGAACAGGAGACGAGAGAGTGACGGTCGGATGGGGAGCGCGGGGCGGGGAAGAGGGGAGATGATTGACGTGGAAACGGGGCCTATCAGAGCGCCACCAGTCACATTGAGAACAGGGCGGACCAATGGATCGATCTGTCTGAGGAGGCGGGTGTTGGAGTTGACCAATGGGGAGCCAGTGGGCGGGAGGCAACTGACGGTTGGACAGAGAGCGCGAGGCGGTTAAGAGGAGAGATGATTGACGTGGAAACGGACCTCTGACAGCCAGTGTCTGATTGACAACTCGACTGAGCAATCGGAAGCTCCAACTGAGAGGCGGGTGTTCGTGGGGACAAATGGGGAGCGAGTGGGCGGGGAAAGAATGACGGTTGGGCGGAGAGCGCGAGGCGGTGGGGGGGGTGAGGTGATTGACGTGGAAACGGGGCTATGACAGCTCTGTATCTGATTCACAAAAGCTCTCACCAATCAGAAACGCTGATCGAATAGTCGGATGTTGTGAAAGGACCAATGGGGAGCGAGTGGGTGGGGAGAGAGTGACGGTTGGAGGAGGAGGAGAAGCGCGAACATGGCGGCGGCGGTGAGGAGTTGAGCAGTCGGGGTGGGAGCGGCCCCGAGAGGCGGGACAACTCGGCGCTGATGGCGGATCGGGTCAGTGAGAGACAGAGAGTGTGTGTGTGTGAGTGTGTAACGCCGTCTCCCCCCGTCACTGAATCCCAGTTTTCCTGCCGTTTGTCTGCAGTTTGTTTCTGGTGGGAAATGGCGTCGTGGCCGCACCTTCTCGAGCTGCTGGTGACCGGGAGCAGCTGTTTTGCAGAGAGAAAGAGAGAGAGAGATGGAGCACTGGTGGGCAGCGCCTCCCCGTCTGTCCCCCCGTCCCCCGCTGCTTGTTTCTCAGCCCTGAGGTGAGCGGTGTCTGAGGCTGTGGCCTTCTCCGTCTGATGGCTGTTGTTGGGGCGTCTGAGAAGATCTGACACTGAGGACACTATCCCGGGGAAAGGTCATGGTTTCCGACTCCATTACAACCTCTGTTGTGTTTAAACAATATTTAACTATTGCTTAATTGCTACATGTTCTTGTATTCGAGTACAGATAGTGTTTACACAATATTCAGCAGATAAAGCAGTGACTAATCTACAGAGAGTTTGTGTATATCGGTTTGATTTATGAAATGAAATGAAGTCGAAGAAACAAAAGTCAGCGACTTAGACTGTGGAAACATCAGAGAAGAGAAACTGATCGCTTCTCAATCTCTCTGTTCGTAGTCACGACTTTATTTGCTTCAGATGTTCATTAAATGCTTTGTGTACTTTTATTCATTGGCTGTTGATTGATCAAATGAAGTTGAATTGTATTATTGTGGGGTCCTTTTGGGTAATGTTTTAGCACTTGTCAGAGGAGTTGGGTTCGATTCCCAGGAGGTCGAAACTTTGGGCAAGTTTCCTTACCCCATGACTCTGTTTACTGAGCAGTAAGTTGAAATCTGATTGTTAGTCAGTGGACAGATCACTTTTCTGGGACTAATAATCCTTTAAAAATCCTTCAGTATTTTTCATAAACAAATGAAATTTGGTCAATCAATCCACGATTGCCTGTGGGACACTGCTGTGTGCAATTGTCTTCACGTTTTGCCAACAAAACACATGGTGAATTCACTTGATATTCTGTGTAGCGCTTTGAGACATCTCGAAGATATGATCAGGCACAAAATAATAAGCAAAGGTTATTACTATTATGATTATTACACTGTTGTAATCATTAAAATTAAATTAGAGAAGAAGCACTTCTAGACATCTTGAAGACAGGATAAAGTGCTATATCAAAATGCAAGGATTATTATTATTAAACATTCTGAGACGTGACCTTACGAATGGCCTGAATGTGCTAAACATCTGTGTTCCTTTTGTCTTCAGGTGTCTGTCCCTTCAAACAGCAGTTGGTCTGTGATCCCCACCCACACAGCCACGTCCTGGTTTGGGGGAAAGTCCCAAACAGAGCAAAGAGCTGATGGTGAAATGGCGTCTGAACAGGAACTGGAGAACCTGAGAAATGAAGCCACGTGTTCAATCTGTCTGGAGTTTTATACGGATCCAGTGACTGTGGCCACAGCTTCTGCAGAACTGTATTTTACAGTGTTGGGGCACAGGACAAGAAAGTGTGTCCTGTCCGCAGTGCAGGCAGCAGATTCCCCAGAGGGGTGTTCGGCCCAACAGAACTCTGTCTAACATTGTGGAGAGTGTTCAGAGACTGAGCCTGAATCCGAGGCTGGAAGAGGTGGGAATCCAGTGTGAAGAGCATGAGGAGAAGCTGAAACTGTTTTGTGAAACGGATCAAAGAGCGATCTGTGTGGTCTGTGCGATGTCCCGTGATCACAAGGATCACACAGTCATTCCCATTAAGGAAGCTGCTGAGCTCCACAAGGTATGGAATTGATATTAATCCTGACATTTCACACCGCTTTGTGAGTATGTCTCAAAGTGCCTCAGAATACGCGATAAACATAGCAGCAGGAACATAGGCACAGAAGGAGACCATTCAGGGCTTGAAGCCTGTTTGCCATTCAGTTAGATCATGGCTAATCTGTACATCAACTATAAATCCCCATCTTTGCCCCATATCCCTTGATACCCTGACCTAACAAAACTCTATCCACCTCAGTCTTAATCCACCGATTTTGGGGGCGAGAGTTCCAGATTTCTAACTAATATTATTCCCCTTCTTCTGAGTTCTGTCACCAGAAGAAATACTGTCTCTGTATCTGCTCTATCAAAATCCTTTATTAATTTAAACACCTCAATCAGATCACCCCTCAACCTTTTAAACTCAAGGGAATACTGACCAGGTTTATGGAACCCTAAAGTGACCTGACTGTGAACACAGCTGCCTATTTGCACGCACCAATGTCCCACAAACTCCTGACTCAGACGCCACAATCTGATCCACTGAACCAGGTGTTTTATATGTAAGATTGGTTTGATGACCAAGCTAAAGTTTAGTCGAGCAGATGAAGCTTTGTCAATGTGCTGTTACACTCTATGTGACATATTAGGAAAGAGATGATATTGTGTACAGCCGGTCACTGAGCAGCAATCTCGCCGGCCTCTGGGTCAGAAGGTTGTGTGTTCAAGCCCTGGTGTTGGCTGACTTGCTGACGGCATGTTAGGTAAATCCAGAAGTTCTGAGCGGCCTCACCATCTGACTGTGTCGATCGAGTGGAATAGAATATTACAGCTCTGTCACACAAGTGGAATATCCTAAACCAGTAATAGTGACTCTGTCCCTTCTCCCTGTTTACTTACATTCACTTTGTTTCAGCAAAAGCTGCAGAAAGCCCTGGAACCCTTCACAAACAGTTGGATGAAATGTCTCGGTGTCAGAGAGAAGAAGGAGCTACTCAACTGGAAGTGAAGGTGAGGGGTTTGTATATCAGCTCTGATATAGCCCGTCCCATTGATATTGCTGTATGACAAACTTTCCCGCTGTTTCCAACCAGGACCACCCTACAGGTTAGGGCTTGATATCGCAGGGTTAACAGGAGATGAGTGGGTTTACTCACTGCCCACAGTGACTCGTCTGCCTATCCAGGTCCTGCCGATGAGCCAGGCTGGGCTGTGCCGTTATCAGCAGTGCCCTGGGATAGGGTGGACCGGCCTGGCTCAGGAACTGGACAAGAGACCGTCACAGAGGCCTGGCCTGATGCCGCCATTCCATTGCCAGGCAGGTCACCTTGGATTCAGTTCAGGAGACCTCGCTACCCTCCCACTCAGGATGATATCAGCAGGTTCATGGGCAATGTCACCGTGACTGACAGGCTGAGCCCCTGTTCTTGTGTTGGATAATGTTAACATTGTGTTTATTGTGACAGAGACAAGCCGAGCATTTGAGGAAGAACATCGACGCTGAATTTGCTAAACGTCACCAGCTGCTGACTGAGGAGCAGCGAGACCTGATCACCAAACTCAGACTGCAGGAGGAGGCCATCGTGGGCCAAATAGAAAACAATAAGAGCCACATTTCCAAGCAAATTACTTCTATTAATCAGAGAATAGCAGAAATCCAGAAAAGACTGACTCTGCAGAACACCGAATTCCTGAAGGTGCATAGGCTGTGTGTCTGGTGCGATAGACAGACAGTGAGTGTGTTAATGCTGGTGTGTGTCTGGTGTGATAGACAGACAGTGGGTGTGTTAATGCTGGTGTGTGTCTGATGTGATAGACAGACAGGTGAGGATGTTAAAGCTGAATTTTGAAAGAGATGTATACGAGGGGGAAGTATTTTGTGTGACCTTAAATGATTGAATTACTACAAACTGCTGTAACTCAGATCAGAAATTTAGTCTTAATTCATTAAAACAGTAGATTGCTGATAACACGACACTGACTTAACTTGTCACGACCCTGACGTCATCACGTTGTTACTATCCCGGCCTCATTATTTATGGATGATACATATGCCTAACTGCCACTCCTGATACCTTGTCATTGAGACCTGTTGCCTCGGAGTGATGAGTTATCAGGAATCACAGCATTAAGCTGCCCATAGCTGTTCAAATTCATCTCGATGGCTGTGTGCAAGATTGACTGTAACTCTCCTTATTTTTTCTTTTCAGGATATCAAATCCATCATTGACAGGTCTGTAATCTTTCCTTCTGTCCATCTAGTTAGTGACATTCCCTAATCCAATTGTGTAACAGAAAGTGTTATTAGTCATAGAGAAACATACGGGTGTGAGAGCCCAGAACATTATATCTGTCCTTAGATTGTATCACAGTCTATTCTTCCAAATTCTACAGGGAATTGAGATGATAATAATAATCCTATCATTGATAGAGTGCTTTATCACATCTTTGAGTTGATGCAAAGCACTTATTAGAAAATACCGTAAAAGGAACTAATTGGTCGTATATTTTCTGGGAGAAACACTGCAGCCCATTGGGCAGGTGTCCCAACAAAATGAATCAAGAGGTTATTACCTCTGGAAAATTGATCTGCTAATCGACTAACAACTTGGTTCTTACTTACGTGAGTAGGAAAGCACTGAGTGTAATGTAAGGAAATTACCCTAATGTTTTGCCCTACCTGGAATCGAATTAGGTCTCTGGTTTGTGAGGCGAGTGCTCTAACTCTCAGCTGCAGGACTCCACAATGGTGGTGATGGTGAAAATCTCCACCTGAATCATCGATATTGTGCCTGAATTTAATGAAACAAATCTCTATCTGTGCCCAGGTCTGGTGTTGACATCAAGAAATCCCACAAAAGTGTCTGTTGATGTGGCTGAGAGGGACCTCATTGGGTCTCTGCAGAGCAGAGAGTGGAAACTCCTGTTAAAGGGCATCACTGCAGGTAACACTGGCTCTTACTGTGTCCTGTGATTGGGGTTTGACTGGAATAGATGTGGAGTAAATGTCTTGCTCTCGCTCCTCATCCCCTCGGTCGGGAATGCTAAATAAGATCATTGGGAGCTCAGCCCACCTCAGCCCTGCGGTGGCCGGGCCCCGGGTCACAGCCAGACATTACTGGTGTCCCACGTGTAACCTGAGACACACAGAGCAGGAATCCAAACCACTGAATGAACCAATGAAATATAATGTCAACCGTTCACCACACGATCTCCAACATGTCAACATTCTCTGTTTCAGCTCCAGCCTCTCTGACTCTGGATCCTAACACAGCCCAACCCCGGCTCATCCTGTCTGAGGACCGGACCCGAGTAAGTCTCGGTGACAGAGTCAGCAGGTTCCTGACACCCCGGAGAGGTTCACTTCCTATTACAGTGTTCTGGGGTCTGAGGGGTTCACATCAGGGAGACATTACTGGGAGGTGGGGGTGGGAACAGCACATATTGGACAGTGGGGGTGGCCCGAGAGTCTGTGCCCAGGAAGGAGTATTTCACACATGGACCTGAGGCTGGAGTCTGGGCTGTGGGGCCGGTCAATGGGAAATATCAAGCTCTAACCTCACCTCTTACCCCCCTCCCCCTGAGTGTGAGCCCCCGGGTGCTGGGCGTGTACCTGGACTATGCGGGAGGACAGGTGTCGCTGTACGACGCCGACCACATGTCTCATCTCTTCACTTTCACCCACACGTTCACTGGGAAACTCTTCCCTTACTTCAGCCTTGGTCGTAACGCCGACCTGACACTAAACCCCTGACGGGTGAGGGCAACCAATCAGAGAGAGGTTACGGGGGTTACCGGATGGAGAGCAGAGGAGACGTAGGAACATAGAAACAGGAGGAGGCCATTCAGCCCCTCGAGCCTGTTCGGCCATTGTATAAGATCACGGCTGATCTGTGCCTCAACCCCAGTTACCGGCCTTTGCCCCGTATCCCTTAACACCCCGACCTGACAAACATCTCCCCACCTCCGTCTGGACAGTGTGAATGGATCCAACCATAATCCACAGCCTTTTGGGGGAGAGAATTCCAGGTTCCCATTGGCCTTTGGGTGTAAAACTGCCCCTAATTTCACCCCTAAATGTCCCGGCTCTAATATTAAGATAATGCCCCCCTTGTTCTGGACTTCCCCCCAACAAGGGACCAAGTTTCTCTGTATCTACACTATCGAATGTCTTTATTGTTTAAACATCCTCAATTAGATCACCCTCGTCCTTCTAAACTGATGATGTCCTGACGTGAATGGCGCTGTTACAAATATCATTTTGTTTTGTGTTGTGTTGGTATCACAATAAAATGGACGGATGTACAATCTCTCTGTGTGACGTGTGAGGCTGTGATGTCAGGATTGGCTGTGATGAGATGTGAGACATGACACAGAATGAGGAGCAGATACAGGAGACTCCGGACTGCAGTGTCACATGGCGGGACAGTCTATATGGAGTTGTCACTGTTAATATCGGACAATAGAGAGGTGACATTGTTAATATCACACGATACAGAGGTGTCACTGTCAATATCAAGCTATATGGATGTCTCTCTCTCTCTCTGTCTCTCTCTATATCCCTTTATTTCTGTAACTCTTTCTCTAACTGTGTTGCTCGGTATCTCTGTCTCTCTCTTAGTCTCTGTCACTCAAGGTCTCTGTTGCTGCCTCTCTCTGTCTCTCTGTGTGTCTCTCTCTGCCATTCTCTGTTTCTCTCTGTGCCTCTCTCTGTATCTTCCTCTCTTTCTGTGTCCCCCCGGTTCCTGAGCCAGGCTGAGCCCACAGTCACTGTCTGCCACAGAGCGGCCCAGCCTGGCTCAGCAGGACTGGGAGGAACAGACCAGACCCTGGGACAGGGACTCTTCCCACTCAGCTCCTGTTGTGGAGTCCTGTAGCTTATTGATTACTGCACTCGCCTCACAAGAGGACCCTGGTTTTATCCCTGAACATGGTGAAAAGTTGGGCAAGTTTCCTTATTTCACATCACTCCTCTGTTTACCTGGCATTAACAACAACAACAACAAGATTCCATTTGTAGAGTGCCTTTCACGTTAGGAGGATATCCCAAGGCGCTGTACAGTTGGGTCAGGATCCGAGCATTGGGGAAATGGTCAGGGTGAGGGAAGGGAAGGAGCGAGGAGTGGGTAGAGAGTCGAGAGGGGAGCTGAAGGCACGGTCAAAGAGAAAGGTCTTCAGACCGGCCTTGAAGGAGGAAAGGGAGGAGGCGGCGAAGGCACTGGGGGATAGAGTTCCAAAGCCTCGGGGCTGAGTCAGTAGGAACCCAGGTGTTAGATCACTTTCCAGGGTTAATAAACCTTCAATTTAATAATAATTTGGTTATTCAATCCATGACATACATACACTCACACACACACACACACAGACAGGCAGCAGGTAGACTGTTAATATCAGTCTATATAGAGGTCTCATTGATAATATGTACAGACATGTACACACATTTACAAACACACACACACATAAAATCACACATGTACATACACACATACAATCTCACACACACAAACAGACACACAGGCAACCACACACACACATACACAGACATACTGCACAGCTCAGCTTCCCTCAACCACAAACAACAACAAATTGCACTTATATAGCGCCCTCCATTTCGGGCAGCTTCTCTGAGCTTAACAGTGATGGAGCCTGACTCCAAGCCGGGGGGAGGGATTAGCGGAGGAGGCTGTAACGACAGTCGAAAAGGAAAGTTTTCAGGTAGAATTTGAAAAAGGGGAGAACAGGGGAACGCGGAGGGATTGAACGGGAGTGTTCCAGAGATTTCTAGTGTAGTGACTGAAAGCGTGACCTCTGATGGTAGAGCGGAGCGAGCAAGGGACGCGAAGGAGGCCGGTGCCAGTCGACTGTAGGCGCTGACTGGGTGATGGATTGAGGAGGTTGGAGAGGGAGTGAGGGGCGAGAGTGAGAGGATCTTGAGGTTGGTCGGTTTGGTGATGAGGAGCCCGTGGGGCCCGGGCCGGAGCTGGTGAGAGGTGGGGACAGAGTTTGGTTGGGGTCAGTCTGCGGGCGGCAGAGTCTGAATGAGCTGATCTTGTGAATGGTGGCGCGGGGGAGACCGGTGAGGAGTGGGTTGGAGGAATCCGGGCGGGAGGTGACAAACACGTGCCCGAGGGTTTCGGCCGCAGTCGGGGTCCGGGACGGTTGGAGGCGCACAATGTTGCGAAGGTGGAGGAAGGTGGTCCTGGTGGGGGACGGGATGTGGGGGAGGAAGGACGGTGGGGGTCGAGCCGGACCCCGGGGTTGGGCACTGGTTCGGGGAGTCTGAGGGAGAGTCCGGGGAGGTTGAGGAGCTCAGATCCTCAGGAGTGAAGGCGGTGACGGGAGCCGAGGAGTATGGCTTCCGTCTTGTCCACATCCAGCGGCAGGAAGTCTGCGCTGATCCGGGCCCTGAGTGAGCGCGAACTGATCAGAGAAACACAGAGAGAGATTGACTTTCACGAGTTTTATTAATTATCTGATAACTCGGAATGTGTGTGAGAGACCGAGAGAGAGAGACTGAGACCCACACGCGCTCACACACCCACACGCTCTCACACTCCGTCTCACTGACCTGATCCGCCATCAGCGCCGAGTTGTCCCGCCTCTCGGGGCCGCTCCCTCCCCGACTGCTCAACCCCTCACTGCCGCCGCCGCCGCCGCCAAGTCCGCGCTTCTCCTCCTCCTCCAACCGTCACTCTGTCCCCATTGGTGAAGGGTTTCATATCCACTCTGTGTCTCTGTCTGTGTCTCTCTTGCTGTGAGTCTGTCTCTATCTCTGCGCCTCGCTCTCGCTCTCTCTCCCTCCACCTCTCTCTCTCTCCGCCTCTCCCTCTTTCCCTCTCTCTCACACTCCGCCTCTCCGCCTTTCCCTCTCCGCCTTTCCCTCTCCGCCTCTCTCTCTCTCCGCCTCTCCCTCTCCTCCCTCTCTCCTGCCTCTCCCTCTCCGCCTCTCCCTCTGATCGCTTCTCTCTATCTCTCCGCCTCTCTCTCTCTCCACCTCTCTCTCTCTGCCTCTCCCACTCCTCCCTCTCTCTCTCTCTCTCTCTCTCTTCACCTCTCTCCTCTCTCTCTCCACCTCTCTCTCTCCCTCTCTCTCTGCCTCTCCCTCTCCTCCCTCACTCCGCCTCTCTGCCTCTCTCTCTCCTCCCTCTCCCTATCCTCCCCTTCTTTCACTCGGTACCTGTCTCTGACTGTCTCTGACGCCCCGGTTGCGGAGCCAGATGTGGCCGCAGTCACTGCCCAGCCTGGCTCAGCAGTACTGGGAGGAACAGTCCAGTCTCTGGTGGAGGGACCCTTCCCACTCAGATCCTGTTGTTGAGTCCTGTAGCTTTGTGGGGACAGCACTCGCCCCCACGAGCGAGAGGACCGTGGTTCGATCCCTGAGTGGAGTGAAAAGTTTCCTTCCTCTTCACACACATCTCTGTTTAACGATCAGTAAATCGGAAAACAGTTGTTAGATCACTTTCCGCGATTAACAATCCCTTCTGTGAACAATGACAATAATTTGATCATTCAATCCACGACTGTTTGTGGAACATTGCTGTGTGCAATTGGCTGCTGCATTTGCCTCACAAAATACACAATAAATTCACTTTACATTCTTTCTGTGGAGCCCTTTGAAATGTCTCAAAGATGTGATAAGATCTATATCAAATGCTTTTCTATCTATATAAAAGGGTTAATTGATATTAACCCTACAGCCACAGCCCTGATGGGTAGAGTAGTCCTAGTTGAAAAACACCGGGAAATAAAATTGAGGATTTGGCCTGAGAATCCCATGGCCTCCAGTTTCATTGTGAGGCACTCGGTCAAAAGCCTTGCAAAAATAATAATAATATTAATGATCCTTGCATTTG